CCATGCTGGAAAATGGAACACTGAGGGGCAGTGAGTCAGCCCAGATCAGGGATTCTCCACCGCCACGGCTGACATTTTCGGGGGGATGTGCTTCGTCATGGGAACCGTCCGGGGGGCTGGGAACTGTCCAAGTTCAACAGCAGCGTCCCTGGCCTCTGCTCACTCAGGGACAGTGGCAACTTCTCTCCCCATTGGTGACAGCCCAAAGAGTCTCCAGAGGTTCCCGGATGTCCTCTGAGGGCACAGTGACCCTGAGGAGTGGAGGGGGCACAGGAGCGCACAGGACGGTGGGGCCCCCCTTAAATGACCACAGTGGCCACCATGCTGCTGTCACCCTCCTTTGAGTCTTGCAGAAGTGTCTGGAAGTGGGGGGGGGTATCTGTGGCTTGTGGCTGCGCTTGGTGGGAGCGAGAGGTCCAGGGGAGAGGTCAGCCAGCTTTGTCGGCCACTGGACAAATTCCACCTTGACCTTCAGCACTGTCTGTGAATCCTTCCCCAGGGCAAAATGAAACTGGCCACCTGCTTCCCAGCCTTTGTGGCTTGAGGACACCCAGAGGGTGGTGGGGTGGGGGAGGGGCGTCGGGAAGCTGGACGGACTGTGGGGGCTCTCCCGCACCTTCACCCTGTTCTTGTTCATCTCCTCGTCTGAGATCTTCCAAGGGCAGTCCCTCCTCATCTCCGCCACGGTGGCCTCGTCCCGAAAGCCGTCGTTCAGGAGGAAGGGGGCGATCATGTCCTCGAACCGCTTGGTGCTAGGGAAGAGAGGGCAGGGGAGGTGGGGTGCGCGGGCTGGGTGGGGATCGGAAGTGGGTGGTGCTGGGACCCCCACCGCGACCTGCCATTTATGTCAAAGCAGCTTCTGAGGTGAGCTCAGCGGCCTGGCAGGCAGCTGGACTTCCACGGGCAGCCAGGAGCCCGACAGATCCAGTTCCAAGCCCTGGCCTGAGCACCCCCTGCCCCCCTATATTTACTGAGCCCTGGTCCCGGTGGGCGAGATGCTGGGCTGCTGGGACAAACCAGCAAACATCCCCCTCACGGTGCTCACAGACGGGGCCCAGGGTGCCTCCTTTCTGCAGCCTGCACCTCATTATGAGGTGCGGGGGGGTTCAGCCTCTGCCTGCCCCCAGGAGGAGATGCTCTCCAGCCCTGGCTCTGCCCCCAGCCACTGCCAACTGGGCCACAGGGAGCCAAGAAATGGGCCATGCTGCAGCCTTCACCTCAGCCGTCTGCACGCAGGGACAGGGACGGAGGGACGGGCTGGCGCTTCCTGGCACTCGGGCCAAGCAGCAGCTGGGGAGGTGCAGTCTGCAGCCAGGGGAAGCCAAGGCAGGAGGCCTCAGTCACCGCGGGCGGCGGGGCCACAGACCCAGCAAGCACCAGACACAGGCTCCGGGCCAGATGCCAGTAAGTCCTGGACAAGGACAGCCTGCGATGCAGCGGTTCTCTACATGGGGTGCCGGGGCCAGCGCTGGAGAGTGTGTTGGAAATGCAGATTCTCAGGCCTGCCCCAGACCTACTGCCACAGAATCTTGGGGTGGCCGGCAGCAAGTCCCCTGTTTTGCAAGTCCCCCGGGTGGTGCTGACACATTCGCAGGTTGGAGAACTCCTGCTTTGTGAAAACACTCTGGGGGTAGGGGTGGGGTTGGAGAAATTTAGAAAATCAGCCCCCCCGATTCACCAGTCATCTGTGAATAGCCAGCAGCCTGGGCTTGTGAAAGTGACGCCAGGTCTGGGGGTGGGTGTTGGGGTCCCCTGAGGATGAGACGCCAGCCTCTTGCTCACCAACCAGCCCAAAACATGCTCTCAGAACAGCCAAACAGGACATGCTTCGGCCCAGGCCCGGTGCTTCTGCAGAGACCAGGGCTCTGTATGCTGGGATGAGCAGGTGGGATGAGGAGGGAAAACCCAAACACAAATAAACGACCCCAGGGCCTCCGTGGCGGTGCAGGGGTAAGTAGCAGCGTTATGAAGCAATGCGCAGCCACTGCAGCACGAGTTCGATCCCCAGCTAGAGGGGTGACCCACAGGGCACTGCGGACCTCTCCTGTCTCCCTGCTGCTCCCCTCAGCAGTGTGTTTCAGTCAATCTACCTGTTCTGCACCCCACTCTGTCTCTGGTGAATCTTACCCCCCCACCCCACCCCAACCTCTGGCCCGAGTTCTTCTAGGCATAATTAAATCTTAAAAAACAAAACAAAACAAAACTCAGTTTCCTCCTATCATGATTCCGGATAAGTAGAAGTTTCTTGAAAATGGTGAAAATCATTTGTTTGGCGCCCCCTAGAGGCACCAGGGATTAAAGCTCAGCCCCTGCAGCACAAGTTCGATCCCCCGCCAGGGTGTGACCCACAGGGTGCAGCAGACCTCTCCTGCCTCCCCTTCGCTGCCCTCAGCAGTGGATTTCAGTCCATCTGCCTGTTCTGCTCCCCACTCTGTCTCTGTTCTGCTCCCCACTCTGTCTCTGGTGACTCCTCTCATCCCTGCGTCTCTGGCCTGCACCCCAGTTCTTGCATGCAGAAACAAATCAAATCTTTTAAAAAAATAAAAAATAATAAACAGCCGCAAACCCCAACCCTTCTTTTTCCTTCTGTGAGCCTGGAGAGGCTGCAGCCTGGAGGGTGTATCCCACCCCGGCTCACCAGACGGCCTGGGGCCATGGGGCCAAAGGGCTGCACATCTGCAGGACACCCGCCGGCCCTTCTGCCTGGACACCAGGCGAAATCAGACACTCACTGCTCAGCCCGAGGCTTCTGGTTGATGTCGGGGAGCACGTGCACCTCGTGGAACCCCAGTCGGAACTTGCTCAGCAGAGAAATGATCCTGGAAGACATTTTTTAAAATGGATTCATTATGCCGTGGATTTTTGTGGAGCGCCCTCCGAAGAGGCAGCAGCCAGCAAAGCCAGCCCTGCTCCCCGGAGCGCATGTTCTCACCCACGAGGGGCGCAGCCATGGGCAGGCGATGATAAAGAAGGCGATGATGACGGTGGCCTGGGGGAGCAAGTGACCGCTGGTCTAGACGCACTAGGGGCCGCTCTGTGCCAGGCGGCTCGTGTCCCAGTGTGTCCACATCTGCTGGGGATTTTTTATGATCTGGTTTTTCCTTTTTATTTTTTTATTATGATCGTTTATTTTTGCATCATTTTGTGCCTTTTCCCACCTTAGTTGTAATCCCCGTGGGCTTCCCATCACCAGTTCACCTGTGTGCCGTCACCACAGTCCAGCGCACTTCCCCCCCAGCCCTGCTTTTGACCCCATTTCCCCACTCCACCCCCATAAAATGTCTCTAGTATATAGTTGTTCATTATTATTATTATATTTTCCCCTGGTTCCTTTATGCTCCTGCTATTTTTCCTTTTCTTTCTGGCTTATTTCTCTGAGCATGACCCCTTCCAGCTCCATCCATGTTACTGCAAAAGGCATGCATTCATCTTTTTGATTGCTGAGTAATATTCCATTGTGTATATGGACCACATCTTTTTAATCCGGCCATCTACTTTTGGGCATTTGGGTTGATTCCATGTCTTTCCTATTGGAAATAAAGCCTACTGGGGATTTTTAAAAGACTGTATTTATATTTTGCATAGAAGAACTGGGGTGCAGGCCAGAGGTGCAGGGGTGGTGGGAAGACTCACCAGAGATAGAGGGGGGAGTAAAACGGGTAGACTGACCACAGTACAGTGCTGAGGAGAGCAGCGGGGAGACAGGAGAGGTCTGCTGCGCCCTGTGGGTCACTCCCTGGCCGGGGATTGAACTCAGGCCGCAGCGGTGATATCGTGATAGCCTAAGACTCACCCGTAGGCCCCTGGGGCGGGCCCTGCTGAGGACTCAGAGTCAGCAGGTCTGGGGTGGGGACTGGCATTCTGCATTTCTAACAAGCTCCCAGGTGATGAGCGAGGCTCTGGCCCACAGACCACACTCTGAGCAGCGAGTGGGGGCTATGGAGCCGCAGGGCATGACAGGGTAGCGAGGAAACAAACCCAGCACGCATGGCCTAAGTACAGCATGGGACTTGCAGGCCGCGGGCCCTGACTCTGCCCCCCGGAGAGACGAGGTGCCCTCTGGGGAAGCCCCCCAAAGGAGGTGGCAATCTGACTGGACAGTGCGTGCTGGGGAAGGGGCTGATAGGGGGAAGGGGAAGGGGTGGGGTGTCCACACTGGAACCCCACAAGCCTTCTAAACAATATACCCTCCTTTGTCTTAGTCCACCACACAGCAGAACCCATGGACCCCTGGGCGGGATGTGGTGATGTCCCAGGACTAGTGGTCAGGGCACAGGGCCTGCAGGTGGGGCGTGCCCATGGGCAAAGTCATGGGGGGGCGGGGCTGCAGCGGGAACAGGGAGGGGCTGGGGGGAAGGAGGGAGAGGGAGAGGAGCCCCAAGGGCCAGGCTGGAGCCCAGCCTGCTGCCCCTGCTGGTCCCGGATGTGGGAGTGGAAACAAGGAAGCCGGGCTGCCGCAGACATCTGGGTGTGCAGCACCGGCTGGCGGGCCTGGGCAGTTCCCGGCCAGGAGGCGGCACAGGCCTGGCCTCGGGTGACCGGCAGGTCCTGACATCCCTGCCAGGTGGCGGCAAAGGCAGCTTCACATGCCCCGTGTAAGGCTGGGAACCCAGGCCTCGGTGAGCTGAAGTGCACTGGCTGGGCCCAGCTTCCCTGGGAGCCGGGCCAGAGCTGAGAGGGCAAAGTGGCCTTCGGGGTTCGGGGTTCGGGGTTTGTTATCGTTTACAGAGCAGAAAAGCCAGACACTGCCTGTAGGGGAATGCACAGAGACAGTGGGGGAGCAGAACAGGCGGACTGGCTGAAACACAGTCAGCCTGAGGCACGACAGGCTAACTCACTGCCTGATCGTGGGCACTCCACCCATTGTTCCCAGCCCCAGCCCACCTGCACCCTCCAGCCACCCTCCGCCCTATGACCTTTGACCTCGCTCAACCCAGGTCTGAAGCAGCATTTGCCCCCTCCAGGCCCAGGCCGGATCCCTGCTGCCTCCACACCTGCTGGCTGACCTGCCTAGCTGTGCCAGGCGGCTCTTGTCTCAGTGTGTCCACATCTGTGTGTCCACCTGCTGGCTGACCTCTCCTTTCTGCTTGCAGCCTGCTTAGACACATTTGGAAAGGGAAACTCAGATCCCAGATTTCTCTAACCGGAGACACGTGCAATAAAACCCAGGGAAGCCAATGTCACTTCTCCTGGCTGTGGGTCCTGGCAGAGCGCCCGAGCGGGGCTCAGGTGGGCTACCTGGGCGACCTGCGGATCCGCCAGGGAGCTCGAGAACAATGAAATGTCACTTCCACCAGGAGATTCGGCGGGGGTTGCCTGTGTCCCGGCTGCGAGTGTCACCTCGTTTCACCAGGGAGCAAGCTCAGGGGGGTGCTGCCCTGGGAGAGTCTAAGCGCTGAGCTTCTCCCGTCTTCATTTCACAGGTTTCTCCTTGAGACAGTCTGTGCTTTAAAATGTTTATACTCAGGGGTGGGGGGCGGTGGGGAGGGGGCTCCCTGGTAGCTCAAGGGGTTGTGATGCAGCCCTATGAAGCTGTCCGCAGCCCCTGCAGCACGAGTTCCATCCCCAGCCTGAGAACTGACCCACATGGCGCAGCAGACCTCTCCTATCTCCCCGCTGCTCCCCTCAGCAGTGTGTTTCAGTCCATCTGCCTGTTGTGCTCCCCACTCTGTCTCTGGTGAGCCCTCTCGCACCCCACCCCCCATACCCACACCTCTGGCCTGTACCCCAGCTCTTGCGTAAATAAATCTTAAAATAAATAAATAAATCTTTAAAAAAACAAATTAAGTGTCCATACCTGCCCCCACTGCCGTCACCTAGAGACATCTGGGCCCCCAGGGGTGCTAGAGGGTAGGGGAGCAGGGAGGGACCCTCGGGTGGAGCTGGCACAGCCCTGGTCCTCCAGGGGCCCCACGCCAGCAGCGCGCTCCACTTACGCCTTTCTCTCCTGGTCCATCCTGTTGATCTGGCCCCCCACGAACACTCGGATCTTGCATTTGCCCCACCTCTTCTTGCGGCCGAGGAGATAGGGGATGAGGAGTGTGAGGCCTGGCAAGGAGGGGTCCCGTGAGTCAAGAGGAAAGTGCTCTGCACCAACAAGCCCCTCCCCTCCTCGGGACCTCAATTTACCCATCTGTATAATGGGTCTATTATGGGCGTGCTGGACCAGACTGGAGAGGCGGAGGGCCTGGGCCACGGCTCATTTGGAGCTGCAGGGTGTCTTCCAGAAGCGAGCTGGGACTGAATACCTAGGGGCTTTCGCATGGACGTCTAGGCCACCCGCATCTCCCGGAGACTGAGCGTTCAGCAGCAGGAAGGAGGCATCCGGCCGACTCACGACACTCACCCCTGCATAACCTTGGACACGGTACTTCCCCACCCTATGCTCAGTTTCCTCATTTGTGAAGGGGCGCATGGTTGGCGCCCAGGGACGGCATGCTGCCCGTGAAATGCACTCAGCGTCAAGCATGCAGCTGCGGTCTCCGCTAGTGACCCTGCCAGGGTGTGTCCGACTACAGCAGAGACAAGTTCTCTCTGCCTCGCGCTATCAAAGATCAGATGATAAAAGGGCGAGTTGTGTGTCTTAAGAAAAAAATGAGGGAACCTATTTTTTGAGACGTGAAGAATATTCATCCAGCTTCCCTGCATACCTCACCCATCTGCCCACTTATGTCACGTGCAGTGGCCCTGAGGCCATGGAGTCTGAGGGCTCCGTTTCCATGGTAAAGTCCTCCATTTCACAACTGAAAACTTGGAGGCCAAGAGAGGGGTCAGTCCAGCTCCCCTGAGCCTAGTGGTGGGCTGGGGACCACAATTTCTCTTCTCTGGGCTTGGGGTCCCACCATGGGCCTGGTGCGGACAGCCAGGAAGGACAGGCCTTAGGGAGAAAGAGGCCTGGAGGAGGCAGCCTGGACCTCCAGGCAGACTGCGGACTGACCTCCGTCGTCAAACAGCCAGTAAACATCGATGGTCTTCTTGCCCTGCTCCAACTGGAAGATGGTGCTGGCCTGCTCCTCCCGCACCAGGGCCTCGGGGTCCACTGCAGGGCAGAGGGCAGGTCACCCCAGAGCCGTGGGGTGAATGCCCCATGAGCAGGCTGGCTCTTGCCTGGCTTACTGAGAGCAGCAGCCTGCGTGGGAGGGGCTGGGGTGGGGGAGGGGGTTCCTGCAGCTGCTGCAGAAACTCCAGTTCTCGGTAGGTCAACCGGCTGGTCAGTGCTTGGACTTGCCTACCCGGGGTTCTCCCTCCTGGATTCGTGAGTACTGGGAACATTCTTCTAAAAATTCCTCTGGGTCCCCTACAAATACCAGAGGGTGCCCCCAGTTCCTGTGTTGATGGTTCCCCGGCCTCTCAAGGGGAAAGGGCATGAGGAGCCCCTTCATCTCCTCTCCTCCAGCAGAGGGAGCATGGCCAGAGGCCCCGAGGAGGAGGGACCAGGCCGGAGCCAGCAGGGCTGGCAGTGACAGTCCCTAAACCCGCCCATCTCCCTTCTCCTCCGCCCGCCCACCCCCAGGTATCTAGCCCTAGGGTTCCCAGGTGCTGCATCACGAGGGAAAAGCTTCCTGCCTTTGCCTGAGTTCCTGAGTGGCGCCTCCCCAGCCCCCAGACGTGAGAGCACCCTGAGCCTGCGGTTCCCAGGTGCCGGGGCCCACCACTAGCCCCCCTAGAACCCTGAGCCTTGATCGGGGGAGGGTGGGGACTGACGTGTGCCCGAGACAGATGGCCTGGCCCTGCTGGCGCTGGCTTCCTTGCGGTTCTCCGCCGGGTCAAACACGGGGTTAACTGCAAGAGAAGGGCTAGCTCATTTCCAGGCCCAGCAAGCCTGGGCCACCTCCCCGCTCCCCAGTCACACTTCAGCTTACACTAGGAAGAAAGCCGCAGCCTCTTAGCTCAGCCTGACCAGTCCCTCTCTGCCGGGCCCTGGCCTTGCCACCTCTGCTGACTGCTTTCCGCCCTCACTCAGGCTTGCTCATTCCCAACCAGGCCTCAGTGGGGTGGACACTCCCTGGGACAGGAACACTCTCTCCTAGAGCTCCCTTCTCAGCAAAAGACCTCCTCCTCCGAGAAGCCTTCCCTGACTACCACTCTGTGTCAAATTTCTCAGGACGCTGTTGCTGCCTGCAATGGCAGATGCGCCTATTGTTAAGTGTCTACATTTTTCATGGGACTTCCGCTTCCCGAGGACAGACTGTTTGTAGCCCCAGCACCTAGAATAACCTAGAACCTCATGGGGCAGGAACACGGTTGCAGCTCTGTAAATACTGGTTGCGCAAATATTCATGGAACGAGTTCTCTGTGCCAGGCGTGTCCTGGCCGGTGCTGTCGAGAAGCACCAGGTCACATGTAGCACGGCCAGCCCCCCCTGGCCTGCTGCCCCTTTTCCACACACGCTATTTGTCTGCACATCCAATCTCACTCTCTCAAAGTCTGTATATTCACAGGTTTGAAAGCGAAACACGGCCCTGCTTGGCGCACGGGGGAGAGCCTCAGATGCCCAGGTTTTGGACTCGAGTGCTTTCCTGTGGGCCTTCGCCTCCCCCTCTCCCATCTTCCTCTCTGTTTGAACGATTATCCCCGCTGGCGACTGACGGGGATTCAAGAAGCTCTGACTTCCAGTCCTGGTTCTGCCTGCAGCTGGGAACATGACCTTAAGCTGGTCATTCCTCTTCCTCTGCCTCAGTTTCCCTACCTGGAAGCATGGTGAACTCTCAGGGACCCCTGAACACCAACTTTCTAAGAGCCGATAGCCTTTGATTCCCACTGAGTCTTCCTTCTCTTCCCCTCCATCACTTAAAAACAAAGGATTCTAAAATTTTCTGGGGACTCCCCCTGGTGGCACAACGGGTTGATTTTCAGCACTATGTAGCAACCTGCGGCCACTGCAGCAGGAGTTCAATCCCCGGCCAGGGAGGTGACCCACAGGGTGCAGCAGACCTCTCCTGTCTCCCCGCTGCTCCCCTCAGCAGTGGATTTCAGCCGATCTGCCTGTTCTGCTCCCCAATCTGTCTCTGGTGGGTCCTCTTGCCCCCTGTACCCCTAACCTATACCCCAGCTCTTGTATGCATAAATAAATACATCTTTGAAAAATGAGAAAAGAAACTTGTGGAAGCCTGCTCTGGTTTTGAGGGGTGCAGAACAGGCGGGCGGTACTCACTGTGGGCCTGCATCACCTCCGAGACGTTGAGCCCCTCACGCGTCCTCATGACGCACACACCATAGTTGAAATCGAATGCATCGCTGGGAAGGGAGGGGGTGGGTCAGTCTCCTCTCGGCCTCAGACCCCACAGGGGAGCTGGCACACAGAGGTCTGGAGTAGGCCTGCCCCCACCAGCCCATCTGCTCACTGGGCCTCCCTGTGCAACGTGCAGGCAGAACCAGAAGTGTCCACGGCGCCTGTGGCTCTGTGGCCTGGGAGCTGTGGATCTGGCTTCCCAGGCTCGGGAGAAGCTGGGTCCGGCCAACCTCTCAGCAGGCCCTGCAGCTGGTGCTCACACTCAGCCAACAGCAGTAGGGATGGGAGTTGTCATCCCCACTCTACAGACGGAAAAACTGAGTTTGGGGAGGAACTTGCTCATGGTCGCACACTAAAAAGTGGCCGGTTGGCTTAGAATTAAAAAGTCCTCCAAGGGGCCCTCCCTCATGGTGCAATGGGTTAAAACGCAGCGCTGTGAAGCCATCTGCAGCCACTGCAGCACGAGTTCGATCCCCGGCCAGGGAGTGACCCACAGGGCGCAGCAGACCTCTCCTGTCTCCTCGCTGCTCCTCTCAGCAGTGGATTTCAGTCGATCTGCCTGTTCTGATCCCCACGCTGTCTCTGGAGAAGCCTCTCACACCTCACATCTCTGGCCTATACCCCAGTTCTTATATACATAAATAAATAAGTCTTTTAAAAATATATATAAAAGCCAATTATTCCTCCAGGGCAGACATGCATTCAGGAATTACCTTGTTCATGAAGCAGTAAATTGGTTGTCTACATGGAATGTCTGGAAAATTCCTGCCCCAGAAATATGTTCACTACCTGGCTGGCACAGCCCAGGCGTCTAACAGGCTAAGCACTGCCCTCCTGGACCCCTTCACCACCACGTCGCTGGGCGGCTACCTGTCAGGCCCCAGCACTGTGCATCTGGAGTGTTGGTGGGAGCTGGAAAGCAAGTGTCTGACCACCTCGCTGCCAGCTGAGAAGCACCGCGGAGCCTCACACCTGGTCTGCAGCAGACCAGGAAGCAGCTCTGAGGCCCAGCAACCACTCCCGTGTTCTTCAAATGCTCCTGCGCTCTGCCTCCCTCCACTTGCACAGGAAGCAGCCTTGGTTTGTGTCTTCTAGATGTGACACAGTGCGAACTGAGGCAGGTCGCCTGCAGTCCCCGGGGAGCTCAGAACCCAGCCCCATTGGCCAAGCCTGTCCCCTGCCTGAGGGGCGCTCCAGGCTCGGGAGAAGCTGGGTCCGGCCAACCTCCCAGCAGGCCCTGCAGCTGGTGCTCACACTCAGCCACCCTGCAACAGCCAACAGCAGTAGGGATGCCTGCATCGCCTCCGAGACGTTGAGCCCCTCACGCGTCCTCATGACGCACACACCGTAGTTGAAATCAAACGCATTGCTGGGAAGGGAGGAGGTGGGTCAGGGTCCTCAGACCCTGCCTGCTCAGAGGCACTCCCTCCACAGCCGGCTATCAGCAGGCCCTCCGCAGCCCACAGATGGACACGAGCTTTTCACCTGAAAACCCACATTTTCAACTTTTCTGAGAAATGAGATCTGGCAACGCTGATCTACATGTCTGCCTGGACCCAACGGGCTCTGGCAAGTGGCAGTTGTGCTCTTCAGTCGGCCCCAGTCTCCACCGCTCCCTATTGTGCCACGCCCGGCTCACTCCATAGTGCTACCTGCCAGATCCCTGAGGAGTCTGGTGTCCATGGCCCACAGATCAGACTGGGGGACGCTGGTTCTGCCTGCTTATTTCTCAGTGACTCAGCTCCTTAGAGTGCTGAGCTGTTTCCTCTCTGCTTTGCGAGGCCCAGCAAACCCCGCCAGCCCAAATCCGCAGACCCCAGGCCCCGCTCCGGGTACCCTCACTCACTGCAGGATGCCAATGTAGTCTTCCACCATGGCCGGGTGAGCCGACTGCCAGTTCTTCTTGAACCCGACCACCAGAATGTTGGGCTTCATTCTCCCAAGACCTGCGGCCTGTAGCGGGGAGAGGGTGGGGGACCCGTTTAGGGGCAGGGCTGGTGATCAGGGCTCACGCCCTACAGGGAATCTTTCTGGGACCCTTGGCTCTAGCCTCTCTGCGCCTGGTGGTGAGGGCTCTGAAACGCAGCTCCAGTCCAGAGCCCTGTCTGTCTGGACACACCCTAAGGCGGGCGAAGCTTCAGCCCAAGTCACCCCGAGGTCTCTCTAAGCCCAGGCCATGACTGCACTGTCCCACTTGTCTGGATGTCAACCTTGGGGTGTTCCTGGGTCATCCAATCTGGGCCTCTTTTATATGTCTTTCAATATTTAAAAACATTTTGAGGTAAAATGCACATAATAGGGCCCTCCCTGGTGGTGCAGGCCATGAAAGCACAGCACTATGAAGCTGGCTGCAGCTGCTTCAGCGCAAGTTTGATCCCCGCCCCCGAGGTGACCCACAGGGCGCAGCAGACCTCTCCTGTCTCCCCGCTGCTCCCCTCAGCAGTGGGTTTCAGTGGATCGGCCTATTCTGCTCCCCACTCTGACTCTGGTGAAGCCTCTTGCTGCCCCTGCATCTCTGGCCTGTACCCCAGTTCTGTATGCATCCATAAATAAATCTTTAAAAAAATTCACATAACGTAAAACACACCATTGTCAAGTGTGTGGTGCGTAGCATGCCACCTCCCCCTTTGCCTGACATATTTGTAGCCCTCAGACAGGGACCGAGCAAGCTCTTTTCTCTTAATTTTGTGAAATATCTAAAACTATTGAAAACAATGTCCTGATGTTGACTCAGAATTCACAACCTTTTTATCTATGTGCTTATGACAGAGATGAGAAAACTGAGCAGCAGCATAAATTGCCTCGTGGAACATTCTAGAATTTGATCTAGGTGGTTTTATACCACTGAGTAGTGTCTGTGCCTGTAAACAAACTATACACTTTTTTTTTGCACGCCGCGGTCTGTAGCGTTATCCTACAAAACAAGAACTGCCCAAGGCTAGGCAGCACCCCACGGGCCCCCACGTCAGCTTCCCCAGGACCTGGACACCCCAAGAAAGTGCCCTTGGAGCGGCAAGAAGGGTGGG